GGGCTGGGGATGTGGCTCAAGCGGTAGCGCGCTCGCCTGGCATGCGTGCGGACCGGGTTCGATCCTCAGCACCACATACCAACAAAGATGTTGTGTCCGCCGAGAACTAAAAAATAAATATTAAATAAAAAAAAAAATTCTCTCTCTCTCTCTCCTCTCTCACTCTATCTAAAAAAAAAAAAAAAAAAAAAAGGTCTGGGGACATGGCTCAGTGGTTAAGCAACTCTGGGTTCAATCCCTGATACAAAAAAGAAAAAGTTTTAAAAAAAAAATAAAATAAAATCAAACGACTGTCATTGACAAACACTGAGGTTTTCTTTATCTTCCAGTCATCCTACCCACCTAGGCACAAGCCCCAGGGTAGAAGGAAAAAAAAAAAACAGGAGAAAAAGGAAAAAAGAATTATGTTTGTGAGCAGAGGGCAACAATTGCTTCAGGTGTCCCCGACCATCTAAACCAAATCCTTAATTATTTATTATTGATAGGAACTGAACCCAGGGTCTTGTGCTGCACATTCTACCCCTGAGCTATGTCCCCAGCCTCTTATTTTAAAATTATATTGGCTGTGACAATAAATATAGATGAGCTTTATATTAAAATATACGAGGGCTGGGGTTGTAGCTCAGTGGTAGAACACTTGCCTAGCACATCTGAGGCACTGGGTTCGAGCCTCAGCACCACATAAAAATAAATAAAAAGAGAGAAAATTTTCTGTTTTCTGCTGGGAGTGGTGGCACAAATCTGTAATCCCAATGACTTGGGAAGCTGAGTCAGGAGGATTGCAAGCTTGAGACCAGCCTACATAACTTAGCAAGACCCTGTCTCAAAATTTAAAAAGACTAGGACTGTAGTTCAGTGGTATAGTACCCATCTTTAAACTCCTAGTAGTAAAAATACACACACACACACACACACACACACATACACACGTTTTCCAATAGAGACAGAATCAGACTGATTACAAGAGGTTGAGACAGGGGGAAAGAACTGCCTTCAAACATGCAGAACTCAAGGTTAAGCTCTGGAGTGGGTGTGATGAAAATATCCTGTATCAAAACTGGTGGGGACAGTAAGACTACCTTTGTCAAAATGCATCATACTATATTCTTTTTTTAAAAAAATATTTCTTTTAGTTGTAATTGGACACAATATCTTTATTTTTATTTATTTTTATGTGGTGCTGAGGATTGAACCCAGGGCTGCACACGTGCTAGGCTAGGGCTCTACTGCTAAGCCACAACCCCAGCCCCCAGACTGTGTTCTTGAGGTGAATTTTACTGTTGAATATACCTGAAAAAGCCTGTCTTTAAAACGTGTATGCAAATTTTCAATTCTCAAAGCACCCTGGAAAACAAAGCAAAATCATTCAACCAAAGCACATACTGTCCCCTATCACTCTAGAAATCAGCTATGCTCACTCAAAGAAAGCCCATGTAATAACCAAGAGAAGAGAAATCTGGAAATCGCCCCTGCCCCACCCCAGCACCCCAGCAATGCCCAGGGCCCAGTCAGGAGATAAGACAGGGTGGAGGTACTCTGAAAATCTTTCTTTAATTATTGTCTCTGTGACAAAATAACATTTTATACAAATAAGTCACCTAGTTTACTTTGGACACAAAAACAATACAAACAGGAATGAGGATCTCGGGTGAAGTGAGGAAGAGGAGGAAGGACAGATCAGGTCATTGACGTTTCTTATATTCTGTGAAAAATAGATTTACAAGGAAAAAAATAGACTTTCACAATTTTAATGACTTTACATGATACTTTGTAAGGGTAAATCCATCTCCATCAGATCCTTATTGTGGCTAGGAGGTTCTGTGACACGGAATGTAATAAGATGGTTCAACGACTAGGCTCCTACACTAGGTATGGCAGCACCTCTTCAACAGGAATCCTGTGCACTGACAAGGATCTATGCGGTCATTCTTAAGACACACTGTTCCCATTCCCAAACAACTACCGATATCATGGTGACATTGGTCACCAGAAGAAAGTGACTTTAGAAAGAAGAAGAAAAAAAAATACCCTGGGAGTTCACCATGTTGGCAGAACACACTAACTGCAAACTCACTGAGTCTGCACCTTAGACACAATCTATTAATCCAGTCCAGAAATGGGCTCTACTTCCACTGAAAAATTAAGTTGAAGATTACCAATCACTGACGTTTCTATGGTCATTAGCAGACATCTGAAGCCACTGTCCCTAGGTTTCAGAAATCAGGTGTCAAAGCCTCAGGCTCTTCAGGAAGTCCATGCCCCTGGAGAATCTTTTCTCCACAAGACAACTTTGAGCTAACAAAAGAGATGACAGCTTTCTTAAGCCCCAAATTACTTCTAGTTGTACACTTTAGAACATGTAATGAAACCAGAATCTTCCATAGAATCTTCCCAGGAGGGCAACTTAGCCTGAAGTCTGTACAGGAAAGGAGAGGCCCTCTCTAGGGATTCCAAGACAGAGGGACAGGGGACAGAGGGACGAGGCAGAAGCCCTGTCCCAAGTGGGTTGCTGGAGTGAGCTCTCTCCAGGAGCTGCCTCTGATGCCAGCTCTTCACAGAGGGCATGGGCTCCCCTGCATGGAGATTGTTTTGTTCCCTCGTATTATGTCACGTACCAGAAAACCGCTATCAACAGTCCAGATTCCTTAGCACAGCCTCCTGGCTCTACTTCGGACGGGTTCATCTACTCTCAGAGAAAGCATGACTTCCAATTCCCTCCTGGATTCAGGTGTAAACGTTTAAATTTGTAATTCATTTCAGTTAACACTCAGAGTAGTAATGCTTCTTGAGATTTCCTGAGCAGCTAGACACAGGACTCCTGAGAGCCCCAGACAGAACTCTGGGCTTTCAGGAGAAGATGGCAAATTCCTGTCCTGCTGGGCACAGGTGAGCACTTGGTCTCAAAATGGTCTCCAGTGAGACTAAGGCAAGCTAAAAGGGAAGGGGATACAGCACTACTCAAGCCAGGGTGCCCATCTTCTCCATCCTCCAGGTACTCTTCCTAGCAAAAACTAACAGGGCAGGTAAGAGAGCCCCTTAGCGCACAGGAGAGTGTCTGCCCTGGGA